TTCTTTTTATCCAGAGTTTAGGGTTTAGCCTTAGAGAATCATGCCAAAAATTTGGGCAGCGCTCCCGCTGAGGGGGGCCGACCCCCATCGCGAAAAGTTTCTTTTAGTTGTTGAGGTTGTTGTGAGAATGAACGGTGCGATCAGCGATTTTATTGCAGAGGCACTTGGTTTTCTTTATTTTATTTTAGCAGCGATGAATTTTCGCCAGATCTGTCAGGAGTCTATCCTTCGAGATTCAGTCTTCTACATTGGAAACGAAAAATTGGTGAAGAGTCCGATCCCCAAGTTTTGTTTTTGAAGGCCGAGCTTATCGTTTTGTCTTTTTATTTTGCTTTTTTGAGGTCGGCAGATGTTTGAATATCGTCGTCCCGCTTCGTGGTGTCCATTCCTGATTTGCACACAGTGCACGGTTTCAGGCGCAGCTGAACTCATGCATTCGATTGTGAACACATTTTTCATTTAGTTTTTGCTTCATGGAGGTCGAGCTGGACACGCAATGATCATTGAGAGGGATGAGGGTTCCGACGGATGGATCGCCTATGAAGGCAAGTGGAACCCTGAGACTTTTGAATTCGAAAGGTTGAGAGCATGCTTTAAGTGCCCGGACCGTTGGGCACTGGATAACGGCTCCTATCAAGGATGGTTTGTTAACGGAGCTCGACGTGGAGCAGACCCCAATTGGGGCACTTCGACAATGCGTTGTCTTTCCAAGTGGGAACGTGAATGATACGTGTTATTTTTGTTGTCTCTGGTTGCAAATGTTTCCTCCGTGATTGTGAAAGCAGATGATCTAAAGTTTTTTGCTGCTGCAATGATTTGTTTTTTCGTTTCTCAGGTCAGTGATCGGGAACACTCCGTGATCTGGAATGAAACAACGCTTCGAATTATGCTTCAGCGTGAGTGCATTTGCTAAGTCAATGCACCACAGTCCGACTCACGGATCTTCCTCCGGGTGGCCAAATAATGCCAATTATATTTGAGAGTGTCCAAATCGGATGAACAGCATTCGCTAGTATTCAAGTGATGCACATCACATGACATGATTACGTCTTATTCATTCTGGCTCCCCAGCTTCTATTAGCGACCTGTTAAGTTGAGCTTTCAGTTTTGTGGGAATTGCGGAAGTGTCAGATTCTCAGATAAAGGTCAGCCGACTCGCGTATGCAGTGATTTCTTTATTTTTTCATCCCTTTCAGCAGCTGAAGTCGTCTTTGCGCTATCCTGGACATTGAAGTTGGAGTATATTGCTTATACACTCGCATTCCATGGAACCTTTCTGAACGAGGGCCTTGAGTTTGATTCTTCTGCTTCAACACCATTCCTGAAGTGTCAGATTCTCAGATAAGTGCAAATTGTCTACAGGATTGGTTACTTCTTTTTTATGCAGATTTTGGCACAACAGAGTTCTTTTTATCCAGAGTTTAGGGTTTAGCCTCAGAGAATCATGCCGGAAATTTGGGCAGCGCTCCCGCTGAGGGGGGCCGACCCCCATCGCAAAAAGTTTCTTTTACTTGGTGAGGTTGCTGGAAGTTGAGTCTGATGCGATTTCTTGTTCGTGATCGGTCTGTCCGTGATCGGGTTATTGAAACAGAAGTTTTATTGCTTGATCCAGGCTCTAATGTTTGATTTGTCTAGAGTATAGACAGATCAAACAGTAGAGCCTTGGTGGAACCAAATTGGGTGGTACCATCAAGGAGGTTGGGTGGTTGGGGAGACCCATGTTGGGTTTTCATTGCAAGGACATATTGTTCTTGATTCTGCGTCGCCTCGACGGTCTGCCCGGTCGAGCCCTGGCTCTGCCCGAATGGGTTCGGCCGCGTCTCACGGGGGGATCCGAGGTACGTGTGCCATGCGCAGAGCCATTCCTTACATCCTATGTTCAGCATCAGTTTTAACATCATGCATCAACGCGTCTTCTGGATCAGTTTGAGCATCATGCATCTGAAGGCGCTCGTGTGTTCTTCAGATCCATGGAATTCAACCTGACTGAGAAGCTGAGTTTAAGTATGGTGATGCGTGTACTTCCAATGCCTATCAGTGTTATGAAGAAAATGTTTGCTTTTCTCCCGCGCAACCTTGCTTGGCACTCCTTTTCTGTTGTCATGAGGTCGGATGTTGGTGGAATATGCACTGTTGAAAGAAATTCTTATGATTTTGCTTGCTTGTGCTCAAGAGAAGAGAGAGTGTTCATCTTCGAAATCTATAGGTCGAGCGAGTTTCCCAACATTTTATCAGCTGTTCCACTCCAATAATTTTGTCTTGCTTTGTTTTTACGATTAGCAAGCAAAATACATTTTCAGCTCCTCTCCTGGCAATGGATGGAAACACTGTTGGTGGGAATAGCCTTTGTGCCAATTGTGGTTGGCGATGGAACAAATGTATTGCCACAAGAGAGGAGTTCAAGAAAGTTCATTTCATGAACTGGGTGAAACAATATGACCGACCTTTGTGTTGGCTTTGTGCCCAAGTTTGCCCTTTTTTACAAGATGGACAAAAGGATCCGAACGGATTGATCCGACAGTTTGAGTCTTCCTGGGCAACGGCCCGACAATATCGAAGGCTAAAGATGCTGCCACCATGTGACCCTCTTTTTAGCCTAGAGGCGGAGCGAGATTCTGTGTCTCCTGAGATTTGGCGTGATCCCTTTTCGCCGAGAAATGAAAGAACAACATCGACTTCTAACATCTTTGCAGGTATGATCGCAGAAGCTCAGAGGTTGAGGTGTGACATGATGTCACTGAGGACCAGGCTCGATCAAATTTGCCTTGAGTATGGTCGACAGATTTTGTCAAAAAAGAATGAAGAATGTGTTTTCACAAATGAAGAAGCAAGTAATGCAGCATCTTCTTCCGACCGAGGGCAGAAATCGTTGGTCAACGCAACAAGATCGACAATCAAGAAGCGGCAATTTCCCGTTGCATCCGCTGCCAACAGTGCATGAATCTGAAAATAGATCGAATGACCAGAACATGTCACATGAATCTGGAAGCTGGACCGAAGACAGTTCTTGGAGAGATTCATCGTCATGGCGGCAAAACAACCGATGGCAATCCTGGAATTCAAACGGAGGTTACTCCTCCCAGGATACTTGGGATGAAACTGAAGGTGCGGGATCATGGAACCGTTCCTATGGAAGGCCACACTATGTTGAAACTTTGCAGAGCTCGAATAATAGCAATGCGAGACAGGCACGACCTCCTCGTGTAGTTTGGGATCCTCCTCCTGCCAATTCTGGTCGTTGATGGCAGAAGGCTGTTCATGTTCAAATGCAAAACTTCAAAAGATTCATTGCTTGCATGGACACAATTTGTGTCTTTTTCTTTTTAACCACAAGAGGTTCGGTCCGAGCAGAATGGAATGTCCGTGATCGGGTAAGTTCGTGATCGGCAGATTTTCCCAGTGAATGCAGACTTGAAATCATCATCACGTTTCAGTAAAGCTGTACTGTGAATGGTGGAGAATTCAGTGAATGTGAAAAAGTGACTTCTGTGCATCTGTGTCAAAAGAGGGGAGGTTCAGAATGTTGATGTGCTTTTAACATTGGAGTTGATACGTATATTTTCTTCTTAATAGTTGAAGCTTTATCAAAATGTTTTGTATAGATTTTTATGAATTAAGTTGAAACGATGATGCCGTTTCCATATGATGCATAAGCTTCCTCTGATCATTTTACTCGCTAACATTATGGCTCCAGATTTTTCACAGAAAACGTTATCCGCGAGGGTGATTTTTATTCTTTTTGATGGACGTGCGTGTTTGGTCCATTTTCTCTGGCGAATTATTGAGCAGAATTGCTTTGGAAGCTGGCCCTGGTGTTACTGGAGCAGACATCAAAAAAATACTCTCTGACCAGCTGGGAATCAATAGGTTCAGACAAGTGTTGTATTCGAAGGATGGAACACAGATTCTAAATGGAGAAGTCTTAAACCAAATTGAGCATGATGTGCATTTGCTGGTCAAAGGAACCGGGCACGTTTCGTGCAACGAGTCCCAGCGAAGTCAAATGGTTGAAGCTTCTGCGGCTAATAAACTGCAGATCCTGGAACTGCTATTGTACGAGCATCTTGATCCAAACACTACAGACGCATATGGCAGAACCCTACTAGAATTGGCAGCTGGCGGAGATCATCTGGACGTAGGCAATCTTTTATTGGAGGCTGGTGCTGAAGCAGAGACGAAATCAGCCATAAGCACTCCTCTTTTGACAGCCACTAGAATGGGCAACACCGAATTCGTGAACCTTCTGTTGCAGGCTAATGCAAATCCTAATCGTTGCTACTGTGTTCGACCTGGATTTCAAAAATGTTGGACACCTTTGATTTGTGCTGTTCGCCACGACGTGGATTACGATTACAGACACGCAACTATCGTTCCCATGCTCATTCAAGCGGGAGCAGACGTGAACTACAGCTGTGATAGCATGCCACCCTTGGTTGCTGCAGTCGAGCAGTCGAGTTATCACATCATGTGGTACCTGCTTCAAGCTCAGGCAAATCCGAATGTCACGAATCGCAATTTGAAGCCAGTTTTGCATATTGCAGTCAAAAGAAACGATCCTACTGCTGTGGAAATGTTGCTTCAGAACTCTGCTGATATAGAATTGAGAGATGCTCAGAATCGATCAGCCGAGCAGCTTGCAGCCAGTGGTGCTTTGAGAGAAATGCAAGGAATGCTTTCTCGTAGACATTTGCGGCAACATCATTAGGAATGAAATCATTCCGTACAGAAGAAAATTGCTCAAGCTTCAGTGGAAAAACAAAACTCTAAGTAATGAGATAGTCGGAATTCTTCTAAGTCCGATAGAAGTTCTTTCTGAGGACGATGGACGCATTTCGTTGCTGAATGATAAGTTAACAATTTCTGTTTCACAATGCTTGTTGTTGTTTCATTGGAATTTGCTTGTTTTGGGTCAAGTCAGCTCTACAAGCTGTGCCTAAGGATCAGACAGATAGACATAATGCATAGGCAGATCAATTTCATATTTTTCAGTGTATTATGAACCCAAAGGGATCAGAGCTTTATCAAATAGAAATGGACAAACATGTATCAAGGTCAGCTGTTGTAGAAACCTTTCTGTCAGCTATGGTTAGAACCAATGCGCAATGTTAGACAATATATCTCATTCAAGGTATTTTTCTCATTCTGTGGCAATGTCGTGGCAGAGTCCGTGATCGGGTGTGTTCGTGATCGGAGCATGAATCTGTCAACGGCAGATGGAGGCCAATGCGCTAATTGTCGTTGGACATGGGAAGTACCACTTTATACCAAAAGGGACTACGATGGTACAGATTTCTTCGTTTGGCACAAAAATCGAGACAGGTACTTGTGCTATCTGTGCGCGCAGTCATGCCCAGATTTGCACGAGAAAAATCCAAAGAGTTTGCGTTACACCAGTTATCAAGAATGTCATGAGTACCGCAGGAACCACATGAAGCCACCGCCTGACCAAAATGGTGACACCTGGGACAAACATTTCCGTGAGTTTTGGCAAGATCCTTGGGGATTGGATGAAACAGCTTCAGTGGCAAATGTTTCAGATTCGAATGCTTTGCAAACTGGAATTGCACAATTGGAGAGTGTTCTGAGTGAGCTACAGTCAGAGCTTTTTGCTCTCTCTGAAAAGTTAGAAAGCTTCAAACAAACAATCAGGCTGACGAGCGCCACTCAAATTTAATTTCCTGACTCTTTCACAGAGTAATCCACTTAATGTGGTGCTTGGGACTGTGCATGCTATTCTTGGTGCGTCTGTTGATTTTCACCAAGGCTCATATGCAGATAAGAGCAATTTGCAGATACTGGTCTGTGCTGTCAAAAAAAACAGATGCTAGCCACGTCATTGCTTTACATCGTCGTTGTCAATTTAGGATTATCATCTCTTAAATGTGATTTGCATTCAGTTTTTTTCTCTATGGCAATTTTGTTTTGAACATCTCCAAGTGTTTTGATTTTTGTTTTCCTAGATAGGTCGAATCATAAGGCACGAGACATTGGTCATGATGGAAACATCAAGCGGCAATCGCATTTGAAGTCGCTGTCTCGGCTCGAGTTTGCCATTTGTGTTTGAGCTTTTGAAATGCTCATTCGTGGTTACAAGAGAACTTTTCGTGACTTCAGTACTGCAGAGAACAAGGCGAGGAAAAGACGCGATTGCAATGCTTGGTCTAACCACATGGATGATATCAATTCGGATGACAATCGTTCAGAGGAAGATTGGAAATCAGACAATCCCGAAGAAGATTTGCAGCAAATCAGGGCCAAACACTACATGACAGACGAACTTGCTTCCAGATGGTACAGAATGATGTTGAAGACAGTCGAGCTTCTGACAGATGATTGTCTTGCAGTTCTGCCTTCTTACTTTGGAGGACCCAGACAAGCTCGTTTATCTCGTGAGATCGAATTGACATCTGTGGTTCAGAAGCTGCAAGATTTGAGCTCCGACATTGTCGACATGTGCAACGATAAATTACTTTCAAAAAAACAGTCTGAGGCATTGACTGAAAGAATCCGCAAAAAACGCAAACTTCTGAAAGGCCTGCTGTTCTTGGACTCGCTTCTATTTTTGGAAAGTACATTCGAAGGAGTTTTTCTGTCATGTTTTAGCTCTCCGAGTATACCGAGGTCTTCTATACGCAATTATATGAAGCGTTTCAGCATGAATTTAAACACCTTGCAGACTTTATTGGAAAACGGCTGTCTCCTTGAGAGTGAGATCGTGCAGCGTGGATGGCTCGTTCTCAATTTCGATGCAATGCCGGATGAGGTGTTTGCAGAGATGATCGAAAATAAACAACGGGAGCCCACTTATGTTGCTCTCAAAGATATGTTTAGAATACATTTTCTGGATGTTCCTCTATTAGCTGCAGAGGCAGGGCACGATGTGTGTCTACGCTTCAATTTCATTCCCAACGCATTACAAGAAGTTGTGAAGCAAGCCAAAGAGCGCGGTTCGCACACTCCAGAAACGCGTGTATATTCTTGGTTGCTCCAATTAATTGATTTCGAGAACGAGAGAAAGAGCAGGATTCGAGTGCATGATGAAGAAGAATTAAAAATTGCAATTTGGGGATTTCCATATGACAATTCAATGGCTCACAAGAACCGTATGCATTGGACAACTACTAAATAGTGGCTGTCTTTTGTTAGCGTTTTTAGAACACGACTGCCTGACAAAACAAAGAGCCCTGCTGTTTTATCAGTCATGATGTTTACTTGTTGTCACAGCACCATTTACATATTCACCTGTCGTTTACATTTTATGTCAAGCTGTGCTAGTCACATTGTCAAAATCGACAAGGGAAACGATGAGAAACAACAATGCAGACATCTACTGCTGATTCCCGCACTGTCAGTTGATCCGTGATCGGGATCGTTCGTGATCGGGTAGTAAACTGACTTTGCTATGATTAATTGAGTTTAGTGGCTTGTGCATAAATCTATTGAACAATTTCATTAGCATTTGCTTTAGCTTGTTTGCTAACCTCTCTCGAAATGGCAATGCCTCTCGCTTGGCCTGAAATTGCTCATACAGCAGAAGATGTGCTGCAGTTCTGCAAGATGATTGGCAGAGGAAGTAACTACACTCAGATTGATGATCTGTCACGGAATTTGGAAAAGGGGTCTACAACACACTCTTGTTTGTTCCAGATGAGCAGCTCAAGTCCGACAGACATCTTGAACGAGATTCCGATGCTTGGCCAACAAGTTTTTGACATGAAGCTGGACGAAGAGAGAAAAGTCAACCCTCACAATCCTGCGAAAACTGTGCAGATCAGCAACAACAGGGTGGTGTATTATGAAAGTGCCTCCATAAACAGAGGATCGTGTCAATGTATATTTTCCTTTGGAGGCGAGAACAAGCAGGAAAGAGTTCGTACTACCTATGCTGCACGACATTCGATGCAGGGATTGGCCATACAGCAGTTCTTTGAAAAACATTTCCTTCAAGACACTGCGTCTTCTTGGTATAGCCGATCTGGAAGTTTCTCGACAGTAATTTGGGTCTATTTGCTTATGTATGTATAATGTTTCTTATTATTCTTATTTTTTAAGACAAAGGCATCATTATAATTTAATCTTTTGGTCCGGCTGAGGTTTTCATTTGCTGATCAACCGCTACACGTACAACAAGAATCATGGAATCTCTTTTCACGATGACATTAAAGAAGGATATGATGTGGACAAAGATCCCATTACTTCTTTCTCCTGCCGACTCGGGTCTTTGCTGGTTATCATCTCCAGCACAGCACCAGAAAAACAAGAGAAGACCGAGGGCAAACGTGCGTTTGTTGTGTATCAGCCTCCGGGAACAATTCTTGTGATGGGCGGCAAGTTTCAGAGAGCTTACAAACATGGTGTACCAAGTTTTCAGGAGATCAAAGAGCTTCTTGCTTGTGCAGACGACTTGACTACTTGGGACGGTGTGAAACTAAAATTGGAGTGGTTTTCGAATTCGAAAGACTTGATGCGACAGGAAGTTAGACGTATTGACGCCTTGAATCTGGTCAACGAGCAAGACGCACGTTGGAACGTCACAATGCGATGGGTGAGAAATCATTCACAGCCTTTCTGTCCTCTAAATCCCCGACTCTTGGCAAATATCAGTCGACTGGATGAAGAAAATCATCAGCGGAGGAATCAGCTGAAGCAGCTGAAACTGTTGAACCCGGTATTGCAGAAAAAAACTGCAGAGCCAAAGGCAAAGGCCGCTAGCCCGGCATTTGCTTGGAACCCGCCCGGAGGAAACAGAGCTCGTCCAAGCAAAAGCGGAACACAGGATGTGAATCCGGGGAGGGAAACCGAGGAGAAAGAATCGGAGAAAGATTCAGAAAAGGAGTTAAATGAGATGTTAACTGTACTTGTTCAGTTTTGTTTAATTGGGGGTACTTCATTATGTATAATGCCCTTTATCATTTTGGCTCAAGGTGGTATTCATTACATGTAGCGTTATCTGCTTTTATTTTTCACTGCTTTCTGTTTGGACAGGTCATTCCAAATCCAGGTTTTATTTTGCGTTTGGCTTCAATTTCATGCTTTGCTGTTCAATCGTTTACATGTCAGTTTGCAATTTTGTTTACAGACAGCTTTCCTGCTTTCAATTTGACACTTCAATCCACGGGGCGACTCCCGGGCAATGGCATGAGACATCTGGCGATTATTTCCCGGGGCCTCAGGGGACGGACCACACCTTTTTACCTGGTATTTGCATTTCCGCTGAATCGCAGTCTTTTTGTGACCATTGTGCTTTACCTTGCTGACGAACACGCTGGATTCACAGAGGACACAGACAGTCTTGCATTGTGCTGTACATTTTTGTATCGCCAGACATTGCAGTTTCGCATGGTTGACACCCCATCGTTAGCATCCGAAGCGTCAGATGGATCCATTTGAGTTGGACTTAACTGCATCCGATTGCAATTCCAGTATGAATGATTGGCAATTAGTGCATCCGTCTCCCAAGTCATTGCCATTGCCCTCGCATTTTACTAGACATCAGACCCCTCGCATCCGATCTCCTTTTCAGGTGAGTGACTTGCCTTCATCATCCAGCTCCACGACCGATGGGCCTCAATGGACTGTTCCAACCTCAAAGCCTGCCGGAGGGCTCCAGAGGCCAGTGCTCAGAGAACAGGAGATCGGTTCGATGAAGTATCCAGCACTCAAGCAACAATCCAGTGGTTTGGAAGGGTTGCCAGCTCCACAGTTTTCTCAACCAGTACCACGTAGTTTGTTGGACCAACCATCGGGTGAAGGCATTAGCACTGATGACCCTTCAGGATGTCAGAAACAGGTACAATATGGTCAGGATTCCGTTCGGCCACAGCAACCGGGAATGCATGTGCCTCAGATGCCAATGTTTCGAAAATCCCAACGTGCCTCAGAACTGACAAGAGTTCGACTAGCTTGCACATCACCCCTTGTTTGGAAACTGTGGTTGCAACTTGCGGCAGCGTTGCAGGGTTTTTCAGACGTTTTGCAGCAACTCAGCATGAGTAAATTCCAAGATGAGCATGCAGAGAGGTTTTTGAATCAATTTGCAGCCACAACGTTGGTTCGTTACATTTCAGCCATTTTGCAATTTGTTCGAATCTGCCAAGATATGCAAGTGTCATTGGACCAACTTTCAGAAGCTACGTTTGCGGATCTTCTCATTTGCGGGTCCCTGGCGCGGAGAGCAGACGGCACGGGGCCAAAGAGCTCCATTACCATCAAGGCAGTCAGGTGGGCTTTCACTCATTTAGGAGTCAAAGTTTTTGCTTGTGCATATGGTAGCATGATCACATCGTTCAGCAAACAGAAGATCCCGAGTGACCGTCGGGAGAGCTTGCCACTTCCACTTTTTATCATTGCAAAGTGGGAGAGACGGGTGTTACAATCCCAAGCTTCCAGCAAGGAAATCATCATTCTTGGGAGCTTACTGTTAATCTGTTGGTCTGGCCTCAGATTTAGTGATGCACAAAGATCGCATCTGAGTACGTGGCAATTAGACCAATCCTCGTTGCGTGGCTTGACCTGGAGGGCAAAGACTTGCAATACGTCTACCCCCTTTGGGGTGACCTTAGCGGGGCTCCTGTCGCGCGGCTCACTGACGTGGATTCACAGATTTTTGCAGACTCTTGAGTCATTGTATGCAGGCCAAGATTCCCATGTGATTGATTTTACAATCCCAGCTTTTCATCAGGCGGAAGTACCAACACAGCCTTTTGAGGCCATGTCATACTCAGAGGCCTTGTATTACATGCGATTCTACATGCAGTTACCATGGAGTGGAAACTCGCTTGCAACTCAGGTGAACACCTCCAGCTATTCGGTGCACGGTCTCAAGACCACATTGCTGTCATGGGCCGCACAGGCCAATTTGCCCGAAGAAGACAGACGTCTCCATGGCAAACATAAGGCATCCCAGACCAGCGTTCAACTGTACTCCAGGGATGATATCCTAGGCAGTTTGAGACTTCAGAATGCTTTGATTCAGCGTATCCAGCAAAACTGGCGACCAGCCACACCATTGGCGAGAGGAGGCCAGTTGCCACTTGCCGAACCTCAATTTGCTTTGGAACAATTCAAGAAAGAGTTGCAACCCATAGATTGGCAGTTTTTCCAATTCAATGCGCTGAGCTCTATGCAGGAACTGGCTGATTGCACCATCCCAGTTGACACACCAGAGCTGGACAGTTCCGGCTCATCCAGTTCGTCTGGATGCGAGTCATCAGCTTCGAGCAGCTCATCGTCCGCAGAAGCGGCCCAGCCTCAGAAGAAACGTTCAATTGCAAATCGAGAGGATTTAGGTCCAGCTGATGAAATCCTGGTCGGACTGCATCGCAAAACCTGGCATGTCATGACAGTTGCAGATGTCGAGAATACAGAACTGCCACATTGGCAGGGCAAGGCACTCAAATCTGCGTGTGGTCGTTTCTTCCCTCAGATCAAAGTATGTCCAGGCGTTGACATGTCCCTGGACACCAATCAGGCTTTGTGCAGCCACGTCGGCTGTCGAAAGGGATTCAAGTGCGTTGGCTTTCACCCTGGATGAATTCCAGCATGTCGTCCTGAGAAAAGGGACTCTGCGTTCAGCGTTCATGCCATACATGTGGCATTCATTCCAGTTGCATTGCAAGAGTTGTTCAAATTGATGGGTCATTCAACACATGGACTCACTTCAGACTATCTGATCGGGGATATGTATTTTTTTTCGTTTGCTTTTCTGAATCAGTGTCAACTAGCTTTGCGTTGTTACATGTTGGGTTGATATCCCATTTATTTCAATAAGGGATCATATCCCTCATCATCGTTGTATCCGGATGGATACGCTTTCAATTCATTAGTTCATTCAGCATTTCAGCATTATTCAGGTGTCTAGTTCAGACACGCATTCACAGTGGGCCGTGAGCCTGGCTTTCCATTTCAATCCTTTTGGATTGGCTTTCAGATGGGTATGCATCCCAATCGGCAAGCATCATTCTTCCCTTTTCTTGTGGCGTTGAATGCATGGCTCGAGCATAAGGTGCGTTTGAGCACTCAAAAAATTTTTTTGGCAGGTAGCATTTGCAGTCCTACTCAATATGTATGACAGTTTCCCCCACAGTGGAGCAACCATTCCATTCCAAAGTAGCATTTTACTCCACTTATTGTCGCGTTATCGTTGACACCATTTAGTTTTTTTTTGACTATTGTACTGAAGTTGAAACTCTTCACATCGTTTGTCCAGCGCCGGTGGGACACAGATGGATTCTCAGATGGACCACTTTTCAGCATTGTTAGCAGCTTCTGGCGTTCAGGAGACTTTCATTGACAAGTTACGGGATGATGGATGGAATCAGGATCTCTTTGCAATGTCGGCACCGACACTGGAGAAGTTTGAGCTAGAACTCCGCGATATGTTGGGCGACCTCTATGAGATCACAACATCAGTTCAGCGTTCAGCTTTAAAGCTGGCCTGGTCCAGATCCCATGATACCAACCACGTTATTTTAGTATCATGCATCCGATCCGATTGATGCACCCCAGTGCATTCATCCAGCTGAATTCCGATATGTTCAGAGTGATATCCAACATTCACTCTCGCTTCCGGTGTATACGCACCTTCCTGGCGCGTTGCCCTTTTGCATTCGAGCATCCGTCGCATCCGCCTTCTGGTCTTTTGCGTACTCTCATTGAAAATCAATGAGGTGACATAATATCCATTGATATAGAATGGATCAATATTACCTGAAAATCAGGTGGGATATGTCAAAGACAATTATCCAGCAATGAAAAAAGGGAAATACTTAGTCAAGCGCGAGTGAAACCAGTGGTAGGGGATTGAAGATGAATTGAATTATTAGAGAATGCTTTTTAGTAAATATCTAGCTTCATATTAGTTAGATATTATACCGCTTGTTTGCTTTATTATATTTGGTGTACGCTGTTTGCTTCCTCGGTTTATTGTTGGTATATCAACTTGTATGTGATATACCTATATGTAATGAATGTCCACCTTGAACATTTGACTTCGTTTCTATTATTTCTGATGCCCTGGGGCTGCAGATATTATCAGACGATCAGATGATTGGCATGGCATTGTGTGGCAGCCAGCAAATTCGCAAACATCGTTTCTCCACATTTCAGAAACAGTACAATCTTGGTTACAATTTGTACAACAAGATTTCGGCAGCCAATATGAAAGTGAAAGAGGATTTAGACCCGTTACTCGAGGCCGTAGATCGGAAACTGAGGAGATTGAAAAACTTGCAGATGCTTATTGAGCTTTTGTGGTTGGACAGCGAAGGTCAGGGCAATTTCATGAGCTGTACTACTCTGAACCAGCAGCACGAGTTCAACAAGTCAAATGATCATCTGAATCGGGTTGTGATGTCCTTCTTTGACTTGAACGAATGCTTGCCTGTGGACGGCTTTTTGGGCTGGGATCACATGATTGATGAAGGATGGCTGGTGTTCAATTTCGACACTTTACAGGACAATCGAAAACCCAAAGCGGAGGTAACAAAATCGAAGAAAGGTTCACCGGTCGTAGCTGATGTCACAATGACAGGGATCGTCAAAGTGAGCCAATTTGACATCCTGTATATCAAGAGAGAAAATATTTTGCCAGAGCAATTCCCTTTGCGAGTGACATTTCTTGCTGATGCATCAAAGAATGTTGCTGCAAAGTGCAAGGACAAGCAATCTTTGAGCAGTCAGGAACAATTGAAACTGTGGATGCAACAGCTGATGAACTTCGTCGCGGAATTGGAGGAAGAAAAAGGTTTCAGTCCACTTTTAGATCGAAAAGGATTCATGAAAACCTGCAAAATCGTACTGTGGACACTTCCTCTCTCTGACGCTCTGGAATATAAGAATAAGAAGCAAAAGAAAGCTTCGAATACTCGCGGTTGAGGTCATAAAATGCCTAGAAAGCCCAAAGACGTATTGTCTCACCGAATCAATCGTGATCTCTCCGAGAAAAATGCGCCTGGATTGTTGCGATTTGTGTGGTATATGAAATACGGCATTGTCTGGAAATAGTGTTGTCCTTGGTTTACATGATCTTGTTTTCATCATGTATGGCAACTAGATAGATATTATACTCAACTTGTCTCGTCTAAAATGTTTATATGTTTTTTCCACTGCAGCCTTTTCGAGTTTCATTCTTCTGAGAGTACTTCTGCCATGTCCGTTCAAGATCAAGCTTCCAAGAAGGAGGAGTTTTGAAGCTGTTTTTGGCTTCAAGAATGGTTCTGATTCGTGTAATTTATTCTGGTCACCCAATAGTAGTGCACCTTCGGAAGTTCCAACGACCCCGCCGCGTGCTCTCTGTGAAGCTGGGAATCTAGGCTACTTGGAAGCCAACGTGATGGCGGGCAGAGCACTACTGGGAGTACTCCAGTTGCCAGACACTCAGCAGCGGTGTGTCATATTACTGGTACATGAAAAGGTGGTGCCTAGCGGAACCAGCAAGAACCCTGCTCAGCGAGCGCTCAAGCGCATTGCCCCGAAGTTGCTGGAGCTTGTTATCGTCTCGCTACCCATTGCTCGGACCTTTTGTGGGCGACTTTTGGACCAGTATCTCAAAACAATGAGTTACTTTGATCCTGCACAGGACTGGCCGAAACCCATCGAAGACCACGTGTCCATGGCCGTAGTGTGGGAGGAGCTAGCCTTTCTGAGACACACGCAGCCGCCATGAACTCTTAGTGTTTGCACAAGCTAACCAGTCGCGCCTACCATTGGCAATGGGCATCGTGCAGCCGCATATACCTGTTCGCCGTATGGCCAGCGAGTGCAAAACGCAGCTGACTGATGCATTAGTCAGAATCTTGAGCCGGTTTTTGACACCAGCCACGATCTCGATGGATGGGGCCCATGACAGTTATTACCGTGAGCATCTACTTCCTCTAGCAGCCCACGGTGATGGACATATCTTGACAGTCTCAATTGCACTGTTGCTGGCCATTCTGACAGGAAGATCTGACTTATGTATTGCAGGGGTCTTTGGTGCTGGCAAAACGCGGTCCCTTGCGGTCTTGCTCATTGCTCTGAGCTGCGAACTCAAGGACTTTGTTGCGATCATCTATACGAAAGAAAATGTAGCTGCCAAAGCACTTGCGGATCAATTAAGTGACCTTGCACCCCCCACACTCAGGAGCTTCGGTAGGCTAATTGGTCGCATGGAGGAAGGTAAAGGAGACGCATATGCCTCCAAAATTGACGTCCGATGCAGTGACCGTAATAGAATCATCGCTCACAAGAATGTACTCATTGCAACAGGTGGCTCAGCCACGGCGGAAATGGCGATGCGCTATTCCATTTTAGCCATTGGATCTCTCGCACCTGGCTTGCTTTCATGGACGAAAGTCAACAGTATGGCAATTACCATGAGATTGCAGCTCTCGTTTTTTGGCTGTGATTCTTGTTGTTTGGTTAGTTTCTCATGATGATTTGCCGGAGATTTTTGGACCACACGTGTCCTGTACACTACTGCTTTTCACTGCTTACGCAATTGTAAGGACCGTGCCTAGTGCGAATCGGCCAAACCGGAGGAAAAAAAAAAGAGATTGCAGCTCTCGCTGCCATTCAACAACCAACCCTTACAGTCTTCATTGGAGATCACAGGCAAACTCCAGGAGGGCTGGGGCTCCGAGCGCTTGAGAAGCCAGGAGACTATCTTCCGCCGGCACGAATGGCAGCCCTTGTAGCTCAGCTTTGGCCTGTCAGATCTCTTTAAACTGCTGAGACTTGCAAACAAGCCGCATAGTGGCCCATGGACATCCACTCCGCAAGACTACGAGCTGCCTGTCGCCTAAGGCGGGTGTTCCACTGCCGAATCTCGTGCCAGCTGGATGCACATAGCAGCCTCATTGCAGCAGCTCTAGCAGTCCTGCTGATTGCCACAGCACCAGAGGAGTTTGGAGTACCTGAGTGTACCACAACCCTTGAAGCAGCCGGGCCATGTGGTCCTCATCGTTGGGGTATCATTCTCCCTAACAGCTCACGGGTCTCAATGTTGACGTACCAAGCGATCGTTGCAGTTCGTTATCCTGAATTAGTCCTGCACGAGCCCAATCACATCTACATTGGACACTTCGTGCCACATGAGGCCACTTAAGGAGGTTTCCGTACAGTACTGTGGAATGCACCTAAAGATCTAAGAGCAGCTGTTGAAGATGTGGTTGCCTTCTGCACCTACCTGAAGAATTATTATCGCAACTTGCAACAGGGAGCGACCTCGCAGCTGCTTGTCTTATGCAACCGTACGGCGGTGCACAACTTGCTGCTCCAGCATGGCTTTCAGTCCGCGTGGTATGGCGGGCTGAGAGTTTCCACCACTTCCTCTGCTGCAGGGGCGACAGCACGCATTGCGGTCATTGTTCAAACAGGTGTCGGGTTTCTAAGTGGAGGACGTAGGGATGCAACAGCAGACGAGCGTGAGGACTGCTATGGAAGAGCAACTGTAGCGCTCACAAGAGCCATTGAACATACCTATATTGTCTCGCCTCTCGATATGGCAGGCATGATTGGCATGGCTCAGACAATAGGAGTGTACCATTATGGATACTTCACGCTGAAAGGCCGAGACATTCAGTACCATGGCCCTACAACCTACCCCAGCGACAAAAGTGCCATACTGGACTGGGGATTAAAGGCACCTTTCATTCCCCAAGATAAACCCCCCCTTGCTATTGCCATGATAGTGACCACTAATGGAACACGAGCGTGGCGACGATATCGGCTGGTTGTGGCATGCAGAGACAAGCTACGTCTTCCCCCTGATGTCCTCGCAGCGCTAGAGTCCCGCACACGTGACCATGTGCTGACGGCCAGCGGGTTTTTCCCCTGCTCGATTGATCGTGAATACTTGTATGGTTACGCTGCTGATGGTTACAGATCTCCTCTCTGGCTATGTGCAGCCTATAATGGGTCCCCAGCACTTGTTCATCGACATAGAGGCCACAAGGTCTTCTTTCACGTGGGTATACAGGATCGACAACTTGTCGTAATCCCGGGTATCCATTACTTCGATGCCCATCGGTTGCAGCCGGACCTTTTGGCCACATTGGATCGCCAATTTGATCCAGGGTCTATGAAACTCGCAAGCCCCGAGGGTGCAGGAGACACAGTGAATGACCCCTCCTCGGATGAGGAAGCAGCCTCTACCGATGACGAGAGTGATCCAGAAGACCCTACAGTTGCGTGGTGCCCACCCATACCTGATGCAGCTGAAGATCCCTCTGAAGACGAGATCGTGAGTGCAGCTGACAAGCTAGCAATTCTGATTACTAATGTCCAACCTAACGGAAACCCTTTTTGCATACCCGAAAACCTTGGAATTCTCCCGCCGCTGTGGCTACAGGCGAGATTGACGTTGTCTTTGACTGCCATCCAAGAAAAGTTTGCGCGCATCCTGCTGAGTGTGGCCTGTGAACTGTGGTTGCGCGGGCAAATTGCCAGTGTGGAGGATGTCCTCCTGCAGACGGCAAGGGCTCTCACAATTCGACTGGCAGAGAAGCTCGCCCAGGCGATGAGCTCGTTGATGAGATTGGCTGAATCCATGGTGACTCCAGAAACTGAATGCCTGTTGTATGCCACTTACTGGTTTCGGCCCATCCTGTCTGAACTCATTGGCTCGGCCCGAGAGAGCTCTGAGGTGAATCGGAGTCGAGCGCCGAGTGGCCCAGTTAAAGTCCTGGTCACAGATCGGCCGCATCGACGCACTACTGGGTTAGTGGACCTTACGAGTGGTGCCTCTGCCCTACTGGCATGGTTCCCGGCTAGCTGGGCCAGCAAAATTGCTCCCAAACTTCTCGAGAATGCTCCTGAGAATGGGTAGGGGGATGGGGTCCCCAATACCATGTTCTCAACAGGGGGAGGTGGACCCGAGAGGGTCCGGGGGGACGTTAAACTAGGAGTATAGCGCAGGGGAGTTGCTGAAGGCCCCCGTCCCTAACGAACCGTGAATTAACACGGTACCTTGGTACCCCCTAGTCGGCGTGTGTTGACATGTTGGGTTGCTCCTCATGTCACACCCTCGTTTGTGTTTGCGCACATCCTTGGGTGATCGTGCGGTATCTCGGGGTTCTCCCGGACCGATCGGTACACACGTGGTACGGGACCGACGGGTCTCACCTCACCTTGTGTCTAGGGTAGCAACACCCAATGATGACACGGGGGAACAGGCAAGGTCGGTGAACCTCTTAGAGACTTGGGGACTTGTCTCGAGGAGGGGTCAACGGGGCAACCCGTTGGCTAACGGTCAATATTCATCGTTGGGTAGCTAAGCTCACGGTGGACAAGACCGTCGGTTCCTCCCTAACAGTGTTAGGGTCCTGTCGCAAGACAGGTGTATCCCCCTGGGATACATGGGATCGCTAACGACTGGGTCACCGACCGGTTCACTCTCAACCTTCGGGGAGAGTGGGCTCAATGTACAGTCTGGCCACAGTGAGGACCTTGTTTTCGGCTCTAAGGTCCGAGCTGTGCTCCATAGGGACTGGGGTCACTGAAAAGGTGACTAAGACTTTCCACTCCTTTCTTGGATCGTCTTCTCCGGTAGCCGCTGGAGTCCGGGAACCTATGGGGGCATCATGAGTTGGTCTCTCTTGGATTGAGTGGTGATCATCTTGGGTGAAATGAATGGGTTCCGTCTCCACGTCCATTCGGGGTGTACGGTTTACGCTGTGCATTCTTGGTGGAAATGAATGGTTTCGGTTCCCACGTCACTCGGTGAGTGGATCCACTCTCCTTGGTTTGACCTGGGACTCGTGGTGTGGAAAGGGTACCGCCCCAGGGTGCGCCTGGTGCTTGAGTAGGGCCATGCTTCTGCGTGGTTTTCGCCTTTTTGGCGTGGCCCTGCACCGGGAGCCCAAAGGTACCAAGCGGCGCAGAAACCACAAGAAATTAACATCAC